GGTGAAAATGACCAACAAGTTTTGAGTCTGAACTATTAGTATCAGAGGTAGAAGATGAAGAACGGCAGCCATCAGTATCAGAGTTAGAAGATGAAGAATGGCAGCCATCAGTTTTAAGCAGCTCTGATGACGTGGTCTACCCAATATACTGCATTTCAACTATCAATAATGTGTCAACAGTTGGCACTCATAATGAAATGAAACGGCTGGTGCAAAGTGAAGAAAAAGAAATATTTTCAGGAAAGACAAAGTAACAGTACACTAGACCACTGCCTGAAGTGCTAATCCCAGGAAATTTATAAACAGCCGGACCCTAAATATTTCTTCTGTGCATGAATACAAAAAATAATACAACAAATATTTGACTGCATTAGCAGGGAAGGAGAGAAAGCAAGAGGAGACACTGGCACTCTGCAGAATAACAATTTAGTTGTATGTCATTTCAGTTCTGCTTATGGAAGTTTTTGAAGGCAGAATTTTCTAGGAAGAGATTCAGCAACCTTCTGGGTCATATTCACTTTCACAACAATAACTAAAAGTCCATCAGGCTCATGGTATATTTGCTCCCATTATGGTAGATATTCCATTCAAATTTAGAAAGGTGTTATGTTTCTGGAGAGATCATTACTAATTAGCAAGTGGTTGATTTTAGAAGTGGGAGTAATTTATCCAATACATACCAAGCAATTTCGATAAGTATGGAATTAATATATTTTGGGCATGTTACTCATGTAACACCACTAAAAGGGTGCCCATATTTTGTCAAAGAAAAGTAAAGTTCCCTGCCAGCAAAAGGAAATGTCCAGTTATTTTAATTTTAACTAACAGCTGTGCTCTCTGAGGTGCAAATTATTAAATCGTGTTAATGTTTTATTATTTTATTACTAAAGTTGATTACTTCAATCCTGTTTGATATTTTTGTTACTCAAACACCTTCAGATTGTTAATTTATAGTTAAACTTTGAAAATGTAACACAATGACTTAACCCACAATAAGTAAAAACAAATTGTTAGAAGCCAGTTTATAAGTTATAAATATTTTTTCCATTCAAAATTGTGTACGGGTGTGTAGCACCCAGTTGCCAGGGACCGTATAAAAAAAATTTCAAACCCTCATAAAAAAATTTTTTACGCATATTTTTAAAATTTACAACCTCCAATGTGTTCATCCCAACCACCTTATAGATGGGAATGAGGCCCAGAAAAATTTATAAAACGAGACTCGAGATATGAGCAAAAATATAGCGACTTCGGTTCGATTACACCCAGTCGCCGGGGAAAGGGTTAATGGCAGAAGCTTTCCTAGGAGCATTCACACCTGCAAGTTCCATTGCTATCAGATGTAAGGTGTAGTAATGTCAGTTTTTTTTTTCTCTATAACTCTCCAGTTTGAGACAGCAAGTTTTAAAGTGTTGTTGCATGTTTGGACAGAGTGTTTTTTCCTTAGTGAAGGTTTAGCTACATCCACCTGCTTGAAGTAATGGATTACCCCTCATTATTTAGTTCTAGTATCCCTACAATTATTTATATTGCTGAACATTATCAAATGCACCATATCTGATACAAACTTTTATAAGATTGGTCCATAATTTCTATATGCAATCTTGTTTTGGGGACAGAGTGGTCTAGCGGTAGAGAGCTGGACTGCTGACCCGTAAGTCTCGAGTTTGAACCCATGTTAGGAAAGTAAAGGCGGCTGGGCACATTATCTCTTCATATGCCGAGGTCACAGAAACAAGTGAACTCTACTTCACTTGCCCTATAGACCGCCAGGTTTGAAAAGGGAACTTTACTTTAATCTTGTTTTGGTTACTATGAATGATTATCACACAGGATAAGTGATATAAAGTGAACCAAATGAACTAAGACCAATTTGGCCTACTAGGATCCAAGAGTTAAATTAACACTCAGCTTTACAAGCCACATGAAATAATAAACCAACACTACCTTGCCAGTTAGGCTATTGAAATAATAAACCAACACTACATTGCCAGTTAGGCTAATGTCAACTGTATTATTAGTCTTCTTTTTTTCAACATGTTTTAAAATACAGCACACAATTACACAAAAAGACAGGCATACAATAAAATTACAGTAAACATCAATTAGAAAATCACATTCAGGCTTGATAATAAACATACAGTCAATTTTAGCAGAATTTATCAGGTTTACTTAGCAAATTATAAACAAAAACATTATTGAACTTGTGTGAATACATTCTAAAAGTTTAGAAACATCTGCAGCAGATCTACAAAATGTATAAAGATGGTGAGAAAAAAATTAGTTGCTCTACATAGCTGAGTTCTCCAAATGAAAATGTAGCTGTTATCTAATTGGTTCTACTATGATAGCTGGCTCTATGTTTGTTAAATTAATATTAAATTTTAATATGCTGCTAAGCCAGTGGCAGTAAATAAATCTAAAAATCACATCAACTTGTATGTGCAGTTAATAAAAATCAAATTTTTTTTATAAACATTCAAACAATCTGTGCAATACTGTTCATTCAACAATACATTTTTATAAAATGCCATGTAGGCAAAAAATATGAAGTAAAAATTTATTTCATATTCATTGTAGGCCCTATTTGACAGCAACAATTAAATCAAACATTTATAGCTGTAAAAAAATATTCAATCTCACAAAGTAATTTTTTATATATTTTTTAAAACTGTTTGGTTTATGTTAGTTTTTATTTGATCCCCTAACAAAGATCAAAACTGATATATCAATTGTTTTTCTTTGTGTAACTGTATCTGTGGATTGTAAAAGCTTATTATCTGAAAACTCTAATTTTTCAAAATTTATTTGGCTAAGTTTGGCTAAATTGATTTCTCAGTGTTTCAGTGATGGAATGTTATTAGGAGAGATATAAATCTGTCACTAAGATAAGTCTATATTCAAAAGCTGGATCTTTTAAACTTCAGTAAAAATAATTTCCTATATCTTTGAGTAGCCTCCCTTCTTTTACAACCAAGCATGATTTATAGAAAAAAGTGAGAAACAAGAAAGCAGTTTGTCAAAAACATCAGAACAACAGAAAACATTTTGATTTGTCCAGATAAGCCCAGCTAAAAATTTAATTTAACACCTATCACCAAATAAAGGTTATAAAAAATAGGTTATGAAACTTGTACTTTTAGTAGCCCTAACTCAACCTTAACCCTAATCCTAGCCCTAACCCTAAGCCTAGAGGCATTGCTGTTATGGCATGGGTTTAAATATTCAAATGTCTAGTCATGAGAAGTAGGTCAAGGTTGCACTCATTAAATTGGAGCTGGCAAAAAGTGGCAATGCTTAAACTCCCCCTCATGAACTTTTTACATTATTAGAAGTTCTTATCTGGACAAAATTCAATCATTTTTCAAGAATTTAAATACTTAATTATCCAACTCATGTATTTTAGTTGCAAACATTTTTAAAATCTTTATGACATTATGGAAAAAGAATCATTTTGAAGAAACTGTCACACAGCTCACAGAAAGCAAGACTCAATGTTGTGATGACTAGCATCACTGCAGCATGAATTATATATTTCCTGCAACCATCTTAAACATTCTCAAACATGTTTTGGCCACACCAAATACTTTCTCTCACCACAATATAAATTACTTTAAATTAATTATTCTAGAATAAATTATAATATTATTATTTGATACATTGTACCAACTAATGTCACTATAAAAAAATAACTCTTGCACACATAATTAAGCATTTAGAAAAGCAACAAACAGTTCATTATCAGATGAGCAAAAACAAAATCCATACAACAAAAATGGTCTAGTACAGCTGTTTCCAAATCATGTTACTGCGAGCACCTCCCTTTTTTTTCCTAATGTACCACTAGCACCTCCCCTTTTAACTAATGTACCACTAGCACCTCCCCTTTTTTTTATCTAATGTACCACTAGTACCTCCCCTTTTAACTAATGTACCAATAGAAGCACCTCCCCTTTTAACTAATGTACCACTAGCACCTCCCTTTTCTATCTAATGTACCACTAGCACCTCCCCTTTTAACTAATGTACCACTAGCACCCCCCCCTTTTAACTAATGTACCACTAGCACCTCCCCTTTTATCTAATGTACCACTAGCACCCCCCCCCCCCCCTTTTAACTAATGTACCACTAACACCTCCCCTTTTATCTAATGTACCACTAGCACCTCCCCTTTTAACTAATGTACCACTAGCACCCCCCCCCCCTTTTAACTAATGTACCACTAGCACCCAGTAGCGTAGCGAGGGGGGGGGGGGGGACATATGTCCCCGGGCGCCGACCTTAGGGGGGGCGCCAAATTGAAAGTTTGAGGGGGGGTGCAAATGAAAAGTTCGAGGGGGTGGGGGTGCAAATCGAAAGTTTGAGGGGGGTGCAAATGAAAAGTTCGAGGGGGTGGGGGTGCAAATCGAAAGTTTGAGGGGGGTGCAAATGAAAAGTTCGAGGGGGGGGGTGCAAATCGAAAATTTGCTCCCAAGGGGGCGCCAAATTGAAAGTATGTCCCCGGGCGCCGGGAAGGGTCGCTACGCCTCTGCTAGCACCTCCCCTTTTATCTAATGTACCACTAGCACCTCCCCTTTTAACTAAAGTAGCTTTAGCGCCTCCCCTTTTAAATAATGTAGCATTTCCTCCTCCCTCTTTGCTTTCATAATGAAAGTACTTTACTGACATAATATAGGACAATGTAATTATCATAAATGTAAAACATATTTTTCTGTAAAACCACCCACATTTCCTTTGGTCTAGTTAGGCACTCCATCCAATGTGGAAACTACTGATCTAGTAAACTCAGACTCCTACAAAATATTCTTGCTGCCTTTTACCTGTGACTTGCCTTACCTACAAGGTCAACTGACAAACAAAGTTCATGTTTTACTTCTTTTGATGATAAATATGCTGTACTTAAGAATAATAACATATTGGTTTTTGTTTAGCTGGAAAAAACAACCTATATTTGTTATACCGTCTACAAACTCCTGTTAAAGACACAGTTCAAAACTCATGATATTTTTATTTAAAAGTTGTAAGGTTTCATGTAATATTTAAAAACATTGTCAGAAATCTAAACAAAATACATAATAATATTTTTAAAAAGGCAATAGTCTATACACATTTTTAACAAAACAAAACTGACAAAAAATAATTAAGAAAACTACCCATGGCACACCAGTAGTGAGTATAAGTTGTCTTTGGTTGAAACAAAAGTTGTCTCCCTTTTTTCACAGCCACAAAGTTGTTTTTGTATTGTTCACTTTCATTTTTAATCCATGTTTTTTTATTAACACATATTTGTCATTTCTGCAACAAAAAGTGTGTGTGTAGGCCTACCCCTTTTCCTTTAAGCAGATCAAATGAAAATGTTTTCCAAAATCCACTTGTTAGCAAAATGGTCCAAGAAATTTTAGAGTTTTTTTTATTCCAGAGGACTAAAAAGATGAAGCCAGTGTGTAATTGGATGAGTTGTATGCCTTGGTCCCAGCAACATTAAATCACAAGGAATTGGTCAACAAATATTTTGTTACAAAATGTGCGTTGTTTAATAGTAAAAAACATTCCAGAAAATGGCGAACCCCACACAACCGAGGTAGACGGCCAGGGCCACCCAGCACATGTACTGCTGGTGCAGCTTCTGCTGGAAGTTCTTCAAGATGGCCAGGCCGATGGTCAGCCCAGCTAGAGCACCGGTCAGGTGAGCAGTGTATCCTATAGGAGGGATGGGATCTTTTTGTGCATAGCGATTCCAGATGGCGAAACCAACATCAGCACTTGCTGCAACAGATTGGAGAAATAATCAAATTTGTTTCAGCAAATTTGAACAAAATAATTGCATGTAAATTTATTACAAATTAACTTAACCGAATTACTCACTTTCTTGGGTCTAATTCTTAATTTAAAATACTAAAATGTTTAGGGACAAACTCTCAAATTACATCCCTAGTTAAAGTTAACCCTCGACCTACCCTAGCTTTGAACCTTATTAAAATGTTTGATTAAAATGATACAATGAATAAAGTACACATTCTCCAACTTTAACCTATTTCCTATTAACAATATTAGATATATAAGCTTTTAAATAGCAGTTTAAGATACCTCTTGAGTTTGATTTGATAGAATAAAATGTGTAGTAAAATATTTGATCCTTTTTTCCTTACCAATAATTAAAACAGCAGCTAGTTTGATGACCCCAAGTTCCATATGAGAATAATTCTGTTGAATAGAACATTTTTTATTAATCAAAAATTAACATTCATGTGTACAATGATTTAAAGAACTAAAATGTATCAAGGTTTTTGAACTTTTTGTTTGTATTTGCTGTCAACAGAGCTGATTTTATGTCAAAAGCTGGATTGGATAAAAAAAAATTAGCTTTACAAACTGAAATGTATGCAATGTTGTGTCAGTCAATATTCAAATGTCTGTATAATAAAACTTGTCAAAATATATTAAAATTGCAGGTAGTTACAAAAGGGGGGAGTGGCATGCAGTACACATCATTGGTTTACACTGTAGGTAAACAGGGTAGGTTTATAGTTACAAGAACTGAAGGATTTTCTTTTTCTAGTTATAATTATATACAAAGTTTCAAAACGTCTTATCTAGTTTGAGGGTTTTGGGGTAAATAGGTGATTACAACATATTTACTGTCTCATTATATTGGTTCTTTATATACATAGATTGCATGCTTAACAACATCAAATATAACACTGTCTAACAGATATTTTATAGATTAAAATAACTTAATTTACAAAGATACTGTTTTTGAATTAATATTACTTGTGATTTTTTAGTACAATAATTATCTATTATAATTTCCTAATTTTCTGTTATTTTTATAAAAATATTTTTTTTAAATAATAGTCTCCCTTTAAAATATATCCCTCCAATATTTAGATGCTTTGTTATCTCCCCTAATAGGAAACCTGACAATTCCCTAGCACACAAAAAGAATTACGAACCAACAATACATTAGCTAAGTGTGCTGCCAGCAGTGCATACACTCCACCAGATGATCCCACTAGGAATGCTTCCATGTCGAACACTGAGGTTCCTAAAGAGCCTGGACAAATTTCAAAACATTGTTACGTCTATACGTGTATATAGTTTAGGTTAAAATGTATATCATTATTATAATTATTATATTAATTATAATATATATATATATATATATATATATATATATATATATATATATATATATATATATATATATATATATATAATATTTTGAAATTTATAAATATATACATGTATGTATAAATATGTATAAATATATATTTTTAAAATTTACATATATTTATATGTAATTGAGTGTACATACATAGATGTAGCATAAAATAAATGTATATATATATATATATATATATATATATATATATATATATATATATATATATATATATATATATATATATATATATATATATATATATATATATATATATATATACATATATATATATATATATATATATATATATATATATATATATGTAACTGGGGTAGGCCTAACTACCAGTTACAAATGATAACGAACGAGAGGCCGAGACGCGGTGTTGGTCTGATGCAACCGATAACAGGTGGCTTATTGGGTCGGGCTGATAACAACCTCAAAGCTACGCGTGCTATTTTGGGAAACGGTATTCAGACGGCCTGTCGGCTTTGATGGATAGGACGCAGATGTTATTTTACGGTCTGTACGTTTGAACTACGCAACTGGTGGTCGGAGATCGAGTACAAGTATCGATTACGGAGGAATACAAGTACGGGGACGAGTACGGATACAAGGCATAAATAGGAGGGCACGGCAGGACTCGTTCTCTCTCTTCCCGTTTCAGCGAGCTCTCTTCCATCTTCATCGCTCGCTTAGATCAGTCAGTCTGTGTGACTATGTCAAGTCGGTTATAGAACGGGTTAGCCGTATTGTGTTAAGGAGGATTATAGACATGTGGATTCAGTTATATAAAGCCTAGTGAAGGACTGTTAGGGGTCAGTTGATTCAGACTATTATTGAGAAGCATTCCTGTTGATTTATTGTGTTATTATGAAGCATTTCTTGATTCATGTAATAAAGGATCAATAGCGAACCTGCATCTTGAGTATCTATACTGTGGTCAATGTTGTCTAGAATGAGTGGTTAAACTCGTTAACACGTGGCACTACAGGCAATTAGGTCTCATTACATGTGGCGTTGCGAGCATGGTAACTGTTGGCTCGTTACAATTGGCGTTGTCGGCAGGATAAATGTTCGCTCGTCACAATTGGCGCTGCGAACAGGATGAATTCAACTAGACTTGCCGTTTAAGGCACCTATAGTCAACCTTGTGCATAACTGTGTTTAGTGTGTGTGTGAATTCGGACATTCAGGAACTGTGAAAATTGAGGAACGAGGAAAAATTTTTCATACACACACGGTAAGAAAGAACTCTCTTTTTTTTAGTACTTAAGGAAGAAAATGTCTACTCTGGACGAGAAGCAGACCCATATAGTGGTCCTACCCAGAGAGTCCCATATTAACAAATTTTACGGGGACGGAGACCCAACTTTAACCAACAGGTTCAGTGAAGAGGTCAAAGCGGCCTGGGCCTCGAGACATATGTCACCAGAGGAAAGATTAAGACTGCTGATGGGCAGTATAGGTGAAACGGTTAGGGCAGAGGTTAAGTGCCACGATAGGACCGTCCAATCAGATCCAGATAAGGTGCTGGATCTGATTATGGAGACCTTTGGGGAGAGACGGTCGGGAGTGCAACTGCTATCGGGATTCGTGGGCTTAAAGCAGAGAATGGCGGAGAGTGTGATGGAGTACTCACACAGGATGAACAGGGCCTTTGATTTGGTAAAGGGCAAATCACCGGACATTGATGTACGCCTACTGAGGGACCATTTCATCGGGGGGCTAGCAACCCCGATCTTAAGGAGAGAGTTGAAAGAGGAGGTCCACAGAGACCAGCAGTTGACCTTCCTTCAGGTCAGGAACTCAGCGATCCGCAGGTCCGAGGATGAGGACCAATCGAACTGTTCGGTGGACAAAGTCTCTGTGCCTGAACAGAGACAATCCCCACCCACAGGGGCCGACACGATGGAGACCATGATGGCTCAACTGTTGGCCCACCTAGAGAAGGTTGACCAACGTTTGGAGAGGTTGGAAAGCAGGTCAACAGCTGAGAATCAGGAAAAGAACGGGACAAAACAGGGACGGGTTGGACGGCCGTGTCCTGCCAAGCCATCACTCCAATGGACGGCAGACGGTCGACCAATTTGTTTGTCTTGTTCACAACCCGGACATATGGCACGGTACTGTCCGGTGAAACGATCGCCCTCTGTAAGGCAGGTCAAGGCTACAGAGCGGCGAGGTAATGACTTGGTAAACAAAATGACAAAGAAACACAGTAAGGAGAAAAAGAAAGGTAAAACACAACTAATGGAAAAAATGAACTGTGAAATGAACTTGAATGTTGAAAAGTGTCAAGTGAACAATTTGTTGGTAGAGAAAAATGATGATAAGAAGAAAATTGGTAGACTTAATAAAGGAATTCAAAGTCTAACCAGGAAACTGGATAGGAAAAGTTCATGCAAATCAAAAGCACAGGAGAAATGTTCATCTTTAAAGTGTCTGTTATCGGAAGAAGTAAATAAAAATATTAGACAACAGAACAGTGTTGGCAAACTAGAAGGAATGAAAGAGTCTCAAACAAGACTTGAAGAAAAATTATCAGATATTGAAAAAGAACTTCAAATTACAGCAAGGCTGGGATCCATCGAACAGCGATGGGCAGCAGAATTGGCACTCGTTGACCTAGAGAGAAAACATCGCCCGGGGCGGTCCAATGGCAATGCGGACGCCTTATCAAGGAATCCTTACGAGAAACCGGGTGATGAGGAAGAAACGCTGACAGGAATATGTGAGGTCAGAGCGTCAACAGATATCCCTCATGGGGTACAAGTGATGCAGAACGGGCAGACCGGGGTGGAGCACATATCCACGGAACCCGAACATATGGACAGTAGTGATTTTATTTGCCTTAATCACAAAAAGATAAGAGATGCCCAGAGAACGGATAGTGGCTTACAACCGCTATTGAAACACGTCCAGGAACAAAAATTCCCAGGAAGAAGGGAAAGAGAACAATTTGGTCGAGAAACAAAGAAAATACTGAGTCAGTGGAACCGTCTCAGTATAAAGGATGGTGTTCTCATGCGGAGAATTCATGACCAAATTGATGGCACAATACACCAGGTGGTGGTGCCGGGACAATTACGAGGAGAAGTGCTAAGGTTGGCACATGACAGGGCAGGACACCAGGGTCAGGACAGAACCCACAAAATATTACGACGGAGGTGTTACTGGCCCAATATGGAAATGGAGGTCAAACGCCATTGTGAGGCTTGTGTGAGGTGTCAGCATGCGAAAATGCCAGTTGTCAAAATGAGACAGCCATCAGGACACCTACTAGCGACAAAACCACTAGAGATTGTGGCTATGGACTTTACGTCGTTGGAGCAATCATCGGATGGGACGGAACATGTGTTGGTAATGACTGATGTATTCACCAAATGGACTGTGGCGGTGCCCACACGAGATCAGACTGCCAAAACAGTGGCAAAGGTCTTATTACAACATTGGTTCATCAAATATGGCATACCAAGACAATTACACTCTGACCAAGGAAGGGCTTTCGAGTCAGAAGTAATTAACCAACTGTGCAGCCACTACGGGATCAACAAATCTAGAACAACCACATTTAATCCGAAGGGAAACGGACAGTGTGAACGGTTCAACCGCAGCATGCATGATTTGCTGCGTACGCTAGAACCTGAACAGAAAAAACGTTGGCCTGATTTTCTCCCAGAGTTGGTATATCTATACAACTGCACACCCCATGCCACAACCGGCTTTACGCCATACATGTTGCTGTTCGGACGGGAGGCTCGACTCCCTCTTGATTTGTTCTTAGGAAAAAGGGAGAGTATGACTGGCTCATACACCGCACTGGAATATGTGAATGAACATATGAGAAGAATTAGAGAAATGTACAGGGTAGTACAGGAAAGACTAGAACATGAATCTCGGCGAAGGGAACCGCCGATACAGACGAAGGACCCGCCACTCAAACTGAATGACAGGGTATTACTGCGTAGCCACCCGTTAGGCAGAAACAAAATCCACGATCTCTGGGGACAGGAGATATGGCAAGTCGTGGAGATGCCTAAAGTAGCAGGTGGCCCCTTTAAGATAAGACCCATCGATCACGCCAAACCGGATCGGTGGGCGAATATTGCTCAATTAAAGAAATATTGGAATAGGCAAGAAGAGCAGTTACACACAGAGAAACCCAAGACAATTAGGGAACCGGAAGTTATAACGGAAATTCACATACCCATTCCGGAACCATATCACCATCAACAGAACAACAGCGATACGCAAGGGGAGGATACCGGCAACAATGAGGATCCCGGTCCCTCCAGAAGCAGAGAGACAGTAGACCATCAGATAAGTGGTCCGCGGAGAAGTTTAAGGAACAGAAGGAATACGAAATTTTTTGTCAGCAACCATCAATTCTTTCATGGTCGCGCTGGTATGAAAACAGACTGTTCAAAGAGCTATAGAAGTGAACTGGTGAAGGCACCAAATGGAAAGGGTGGATGTGAATTCTAGAACTGTTTTGTGTCTCAGAAAGATGATGTAGACACAGTTGATATGTGAAATAGGTAGAACTGTCAATCGTATACGAATGGAACGTCGTGGACAGTGAGTAGAACAATAGATTTTTTTTTTACGACTGTGCGATTGACTTTGGAGGAGTGCACCTGCCAGGCGTTGTTTGTGGTTGAAAACACACAAAAAAAAGCAGGGGTGGATGTAACTGGGGTAGGCCTAACTACCAGTTACAAATGATAACGAACGAGAGGCCGAGACGCGGTGTTGGTCTGATGCAACCGATAACAGGTGGCTTATTGGGTCGGGCTGATAACAACCTCAAAGCTACGCGTGCTATTTTGGGAAACGGTATTCAGACGGCCTGTCGGCTTTGATGGATAGGACGCAGATGTTATTTTACGGTCTGTACGTTTGAACTACGCAACTGGTGGTCGGAGATCGAGTACAAGTATCGATTACGGAGGAATACAAGTACGGGGACGAGTACGGATACAAGGCATAAATAGGAGGGCACGGCAGGACTCGTTCTCTCTCTTCCCGTTTCAGCGAGCTCTCTTCCATCTTCATCGCTCGCTTAGATCAGTCAGTCTGTGTGACTATGTCAAGTCGGTTATAGAACGGGTTAGCCGTATTGTGTTAAGGAGGATTATAGACATGTGGATTCAGTTATATAAAGCCTAGTGAAGGACTGTTAGGGGTCAGTTGATTCAGACTATTATTGAGAAGCATTCCTGTTGATTTATTGTGTTATTATGAAGCATTTCTTGATTCATGTAATAAAGGATCAATAGCGAACCTGCATCTTGAGTATCTATACTGTGGTCAATGTTGTCTAGAATGAGTGGTTAAACTCGTTAACACGTGGCACTACAGGCAATTAGGTCTCATTACATGTGGCGTTGCGAGCATGGTAACTGTTGGCTCGTTACAATTGGCGTTGTCGGCAGGATAAATGTTCGCTCGTCACATATATATATATATATACATATATGTATATAAGAAGGTGTTGCACTCACCTGCCAGGATACCTGACATATAGACCAGGGCTATCCTAAATGGACCATGGACCATCTCTAAAGGTACACCAACTAGAACTTGGACTATTACATTAAATAGTAGATGCACATAGCTGAGGATTTAAAAAAAAACATTTTAAATATCTATGTAACTATTCAAGATGAACAATTTTAAAGATGTATCACTCGATTTCCCCACACATACAGCTTATCCACATCTATTGGCCACATCAACATCTATTGGCAACATCCACATCTATTGGCCACATCTACATCTATTGACCACATCCACATCTATTGGCCACATCCACATCTATTGGCCACACTCCACACCAAATGGCCACACCCACCAGTCCCCTTCCAACATTGTCCACACGGCACCTTGACATTTATTCGGCATTCGCTGCCGAAATCCCCTTCAATGCTGGACAGCAGTAGCCTTTTCGTAACATGACCTACCCAGCATGTAGGACGTCACATGACCTACCCAACACACTTGACGTCACGTGACCTACCCAGCATGTACGACGTCACATGACCTACCCTGTGTGCATGACCTCACGTGACCTACCCAGCATGACCTCATGTGACCTACCCAGCATGTAGGACGTCACATGACCTACCCAACACACTTGACGTCACGTGACCTACCCAGCATGCAGCATCATGTACAGCAGGAAGCGCCACATCTCGAGACGTTTGTCGGGTCTGTATATGAAGACACTGGCCACAGGGACTGGCCCGTTGAAGGTGAACATTCGGGACTCCATACAGTAGTAGACAAAGCATCCTACCTGGTGAGTATAGGGAGGGTTTAAACTCTAATCTCGGAAGGGGGGGGGGTGAATGTGGGTCAAGAGAGAGGGGCTTTTAACATGGGTCATGAGGGAATCTAAATGTAGATCATGGGGGGTTATAGTATAGGAAAGGGGTCGGCAACCTTTTGAAGCGGAAGAGCCAAAAGTTACAATTTTCAAAATTTCCCTGGTTTTAAAGAGCCACTAACATTTTTTTATTTCAAATATTTTATTTTTTTATTAAGATTATTAGTATTTGTGCAAGGAGCTGGAGAGCCGCATCTTGATATCAAAAGAGCCGCATGCGGCTCGCGAGCCGCAGGTTGCCGACCCCTGGTATAGGAGTTAAATGTTGAAGCTCAGCGACTTGTTAGTTAAGGAATCATGGACATTTTATATGCAACAGAAAATCTGGCATTTTGCGCAACTCTACCCCATATAAAGTAATATAACGTAAAAGACCACTACCCCATATAAAGATTTATAACAAAACAGAAAGCTATAAATTATTTAAAAGAAAATACATTGTTACATTTTCTTTGTTAGAAACGAGGGCCAAACCATATACATGTACAAAAAATAATAACCACCCTATCACATATGATGTGTTGTATAATACATGCACGAACTAAAACCTTCAGATGTAAACATCAACAGTACACAGTGATGTGAGAGCTACCTTATATCACCCTTATTCCCAACCAAACAAGAAAGACAACCAGACAATCGATTGTGAGTTATATGATGAGCTGAGTTTAAGTGACCTCCCCTTGTAGTCTACGACTAATAAATTTGTAATGTTTTTCTCCGAAGTCTCCGTCTGAAGGAGACATTTTTATTCTGTCTGAACCGTTTGACATCACCGTTTGTATTTGTAGCAGTCAGATGTAGCAAATCATTAAGTATAAAAGCTCTGGAACAGATGACTTTATCTATGACTTGACCACGCCGCCCACCTACAATAACCATAAATCTTGAGTTAACAGTAATTTTCTTCATCTTGCTCTTATAATGTAAAAGAAATGAATCGCAGTCAAATATATTAACCATACTGACAGCGACACCCTCACAAAGTGCATCGGCTAAAGACCCCCCCCCCCCCATTCCCCCACCAGATGAATACCGTTAATTATGACGTGTCATTTTCCTCCTAAGGTTTTAAAGAAACAATAAAAACTCCAGCTCTATTGATGTGATTTAAAGATAGTAGGGGGTGGGGGTGTATTAAAGAAGACCTCCATACAAACCAGTACCTCTAGCAATGTGATGAGGGGTATGAAGATGGGGGGTGGGCAGCAGGTGTAACGGTCAGCGTAGAACTGACGGTCGGCGTCGTCCGTCAGGAACTCACGGGCTATGCGGCGGACCTGGGGAGAGAGAAACTTTTTTGTAGGTCACACAGCTAGGTGGGGGGGGGGGGGGGGGGGCGGCGGACTTGGGGAGAAAGAAAATCTTTTGTAGATCAGACGTGTAGGGGGGGGGGGGGTAAACTTAAGGGCATCAGACTTTTTGGGAGGGGGGGGGGAGAGAATATATATTGTAGATCAGGCATGGAAGTGAAGGGGGTGGGGAATCTTTTGTATATCAGATAAGGGGGGGCGGGGAGATGGTAGGCAGCATTGATTGGAGCTAAACTACGGTCTTGTAAACTATTTTTGTCTGGTTGCTGTTGATGAGTCGTTACAGGTGTTTTGTGTTTATGTGCTAATTAAGGTACAGGTAAATCTGCAACAATTGCGGTTAATCTGTTAAAATTAGAGTTAATATGTAGCAGGGTTAATCTGTAATGGTTAATGTAATTGTGAAACTGTGGCCTATTCGTTGGGTTATGATACTTGATGTTATTATATAACACTTCTCATACAAACACTTCTCGTCTGTCATACACCATACACATCTAACACGGCTGTCATAAGACTGACCCTAACTATGACTTGCATACTGCAGATGTTTCAAACATTCGTCCAACTCATGTATGTCTGTCACCCTTCATGTGTCATCCAGCAAGTGTCCATCATCCAGCATGTGCGTCATACAACATCTAGCATCTCTCTGTCATCCGGTATATGTCCGTCATCCAACAAGTGTCTGTCATCTAGCGTTTCCGTCATCCAGCATGTGCGTCATACAACATACGTCCGTCATATAGCATCTGTCCGTCATCCGGTATCTGTCTGCCATCTAACAAGTGTCTGTTATCTAGCGTGTCCGTCATCCAGCACGTATCTGTCATGCAGCATGTCCGTTTTACAACATTTGTCCGTCATCCGGTATCTGTCATTCAACATATGTCCGGCATCTAAAATCTGTCTGTCGTCCAGCGTGTCCGTCATACACCATTTGTCCGTCATCCGACATCTGTCTGCCATCTAACAGGTGTCTGTCTTCTAGGGTGTCCGTTATCCAGCATATGTCCGTCATCCAGCACATGTCTGTCATACAACATATGTCTGTCATCCAGCGTGTCCGTCAAATAACATTTGTCTGTCATCCGACATCTGTCTGTCATCCAAAAAGTGTATGTCATCCAGCATGTACTTCATATAACATATGTTCGTCATCTAGCATCTGTTCAGTATCTGTCCGTCATCCAGCGTGTCCGTCATACACATGTCCGTCATCTAACACCTGTCCGTCATACAACATCTGTCCGTCCTCTAGCATCTGTCCGTCATCCGGCAACCCACCTACCATCTTCTGGAAGCACGTCAGGTAGGGCCCGTCACTGAGGTAGAGGGACCTGTTCCAGGGGTCGGCCTCACGACTCTCCACAGCCAACCGGAAGCTGTCGTTCCGTCTGCAGCTCATCTGCACAATGGAAGAGAAGCAGACGTCAATCAGAAACATCAGCCAGCGAGCCTGGCTTTAGAACATCTTTACCAGCCGACACAAATACGCCTTTCATTGTGTTTGTTTACTTTAGGGCGAGGGGAAAGATTTTCACATTTCTAAAGCCGTGCACATTTCTCGACGCACTGGGAGGGATGGGGAACAAATGTGGAGTTATGAATCTATTTGTGGATACATCGGGAAAGCTGATTGACAAAAAATGGAGTTATGAATCTATCTGTGTTTACATGAGTGATTTTAAGGACCCCATGTTTGACGCCTCAGTAGTCTGCTGTTTAATGGGGGGGAAGGGGGTTAGGGGGATGTTAGAGGTGGGATTTGGATTTCTATTCGGTCAAAGAAATGTTGGGTTTTTTTTTATCTAATTCCTAAGCAAATGTAAACCTTTTTTTGGGATCTAATACCTATGAAAATAGTTAACTGTATTTTGATCTAAAGCAATAACTATGGAAATGTTAACTTTTAAAATATTTTTTTTGGGATCTAATACCTCAGCAAATGTTAATTTAAAAAAATATATAATTAAGAAAAGTTTAACTTTAATGAGTTATTTATCTTCCAGCAGATACAAATGTTTTGACCAAAGTGATAGATAAGAATAAGTTTAGAACACTTTATTTAAACTGTTATGTGACGGCATGGTCGGTTTGTTGAGCTTACAACCACTAACCCAAAGTCTCGAGTTCGAATCACAGGTTCGATTTAGTAGAAGGTTCCTGAGTCCACCCAGCTCTGATGGGTACCTGACTCACGTTAGGGAAACAAAACGGATGGGCTCAATGCTGACCACATTGTCCCTTCATACGCCGAGGTAACTGAAACAGATGAACTCTACTTCACCTGCCCATAAACGGGAAGGGATAATGATAATGTTAAGTTTCAAAAAAGTTGAAAACTCACCCATAGCTAAGGTTGTTTATGTTTTTATAAGTGTACAAAAAGTAAGTCAAGTCCATTTTTACTAGGGGGTGCTGGGACCTATCACGTGATGTTATTTATTTACAGTGTCGCATGACAGACGATCGATACCTCCATTAATGCTAATTACGTGTATAGCTAATTACTTGTATAGCTAATTACTTGTAGCACACCATTGATTATGTAAACCAAGTCGTTTTTTACTTCCAAGAAAGCATTTGAAGGGTAGTGACAATAGCATGAATAATCAATTTTTAAAATCAAAATGGATGTGCTGTTTATGTTACGTTCTGTTCCTTTGATCATTTAAACGGTTTTTGAATTGTTATGATTCTTTTAGTTAATTCAGATTTTTTAAAATGACTAAATTATTTTTTAAAAACATTATTTTTATAAACTAAGATTTTTTTTGGTCCCGCAATTCGCAATGTGAACTTCTCCATTACAATGAGCCGGTGTTGTCCTCTGGAGGTGAGTTATGTCCCCTGAAGTATATTTTGTCATTATAGATTAAGTATTAAGTATTAAGTATTCCAAAAAAAACACCAAATTGAGATATTTATAAATCTCGACGTTTTACACCTTCTTGAATCGAAAAAAAAAACAACATAGTTTTGCAATTTTGTCTGTATGTCTGTGTGTGTGTATGTATGTATGTATGTGTGTGTATGTCTATGAACACGATAACTTGAGTACCGTTTCAGCTAGGTTGATGAAATTTCATATACAAGTATTAAAACAAATTTTTAGTTCTGTATCAACTTTTGAGCTCTAGTCGCGTTTGTACATTTTATGACATCCAAGACCAATAGTTTATTAAAGAATGTCTTGCGACTATGGATGTTGAAAAGAAATTGCCTTTATGGTTGAAATATTTATTCACGCAAGTGAATGTCTCAAATTTTAATAAAACTCAAGTAATTATTAAGCCGGGACGTTTTCTAGAAAAGTAAAAATACGGATGGCAGTTTTTACTCACGTTTGACACACATCTCAAGACCGACACACACACACACACACACATCTCAAGTCCGACACACACTCAAATACAAAGACCGCCACACAACAACATCTTAAGACCACCACACACAGCTACACACATCTCAAGACCGTCACACCCACACACCTCTCTAAACAATCCGTAACACGATCTTAGGACCCTCTTCTGTTCCTAACACATCTCTTCAGCCAGCTATTACGTAAACTCCTGACAAACCAAACGAGGACATTTTATTTGACACAATAACTTTCTAAGTTAGAAAAATATTCCCAATCCCCCCCCCCCCCCGCCTCCCCCACTGTAAAAGTTTTACATCTCTGGCAATGACGAGTCGTCGTTAACGTCACGAGGCTAGGAAAGAGAGGTCACTGACCCCTAGCACATGAGTTCCTTGTGAGGGCTACATTCAACGGCTGCCGGCCATTTTATTACCTAATTACACAAGTCAACACAGGACACATCTGTGAGCTCATGTTTGCAAGTACAGGCCCCTGAATGGTTAGATCACAGGAGTACAGGCCCTGGTTAGATCACAGGAGTACAGGCCCCTGGTTAGTTAGATCACAGGAGTACAGGCCCCTGGTTAGTTAGATCACAGGAGTACAGGCACCTGATTAGTTAGATCACAGGAGTACAGGCCCCTGGTTAGTTAGATCACAGGAGTACAGGCCCCTGGTTAGTTAGATCACAGGAGTACAGGCCCCTGGTTAGTTAGATCATAGGAGTACAGGCCCCTGGTTAGTTAGATCACAGGAGTACAGGCCCCTGGTTAGTTAGATCACAGGAGTACAGGCCCCTGGTTAGTTAGATCACAGGAGTACAGGCCCCTGGTTAGATCACAGGAGTACAGGCCCCTGGTTAGTTAGATCACAGTACAGGCCCCTGGTTAGTTAGATCACAGGAGTACAGGCCCCTGATTAGTTAGATCACAATACTGGCCCCTGGTTAGTTAGATCACAGGAGTAAAGGCCCCTGGTTAGTTAGATCACAGGAGTACATGCCCCTGGTTAGTTAGATCACAGGAGTACAGGCCCCTGGTTAGTTAGATCACAGTACAGGCCCCTGGTTAGTTAGATCACAGGAGTACAGGCCCCTGGTTAGTTAGATCACAGTACAGGCCCCTGGTTAGTTAGATCACAGGAGTACTGGCACCTGGTAAGTTAGATCATAGTACTGGCCCCTGGTTAGTTAGATCACAGTACAGGCCCTTGTTTAGTTAGATCACAGTACTGGCCCCTGGTTAGTTAGATCACAGGAGTACTGGCACCTGGTTAGTTAGATCACAGTACAGGCCCCTGGTTAGTTAGATCACATGAGTACAGGCCCCTGGTTAGCTAGATCACAGGAGTACAGGCCCCTGGTTAGTTAGATCACAGTACAGGCCCCTGGTTAGTTAGATCACAGGAGTACAGGCCCCTGGTTAGTTAGATCACAGGAGTACAGGCTTCTGGATAGTTAGATCACAGGAGTACTGGCCCCTGGTTAGTTAGATCACAGGAGTACATGCCCCTGGTTAGTTAGATCACAGGAGTACAGGCCCCTGGTTAGTTAGATCACAGGAGTACAGGCCCCTGGTTAGTTAGATCACAGGAGTACAGGCCACTGGTTAGTTAGATCACAGGAGTACAGGCCCCTGGTTAGTTAGATCACAGGAGTACAGGCCTCTGGTTAGTTAGATCACAGTACTGGCCCCTGGTTAGTTAGATCACAGGAGTACAGGCCCCTGGTTAGTTAGATCACAGGAGTACAGGCCCCTGGTTAGTTAGATCACAGGAGTACAGGCCCCTGGTTAGTTAGATCACAGGAGTACAGGCCCCTGGTTAGTTAGATCACAGTACTGGCCCCTGGTTAGTTAGATCACAGTACAGGCCCCTGGTTAGTTAGATCACAGTACAGGCCCCTGGTTAGTTAGATCACAGTACTGGCCCCTGGTTAGTTAGATCACAGGAGTACGGGCCCCTGGTTAGTTAGATCACAGGAGTACAGGCCCCTGGTTAGTTAGATCACAGGAGTAAAGGCCCCTGGTTAGTTACATCACAGGAGTACAGGCCCCTGGTTAGTTATATCACAGGAGTAGAGTACAGGCCCCTGGTTAGTTAGATCACAGGAGTACAGGCCCCTGGTTAGTTAAATCACAGGAGTACAGGCCCCTGGTTAGTTAGATCACAGGAGTACAGGCCCCTGGTTAGTTAGATCACAGGAGTACAGGCCCCTGGTTAGTTAGATCACAGGAGTACAGGCCCCTGGTTAGTTAGATCACAGGAGTACAGGCCCCTGGTTAGTTAGATCACAGGAGTACAGGCCCCTGGTTAGTTAGATCACAGGAGTACAGGCCCCTGGTTAGTTAGATCACAGGAGTACAGGCCCCTGGTTAGTTAGATCACAGGAGTACTGGCCCCTGGTTAGTTAGATCACAGGAGTACAGGCCCTGGTTAGTTAGATCACAGGAGTACAGGCCCCTGGTTAGTTAGATCACAGGAGTACAGGCCCCTGGTTAGTTAGATCACAAGAGTACAGGCCCCTGGTTAGTTAGATCACAGTAAAGGCCCCTGGTTAGTTAGATCACAGTACTGGCCCCTGGTTAGTTAGATCATATTACTGGCCCCTGGTTAGTTAGATCACAGTACTGGCCCCTGGTTAGTTAGATCACAGGAGTACAGGCCCCTGGTTAGTTAGATCACAGGAGTACCGGCCCCTGGTTAGTTAGATCACAGTACAGGCCCCAGGTTAGTTAGATCACAGGAGTACAGGCCCCTGGTTAGTTAGATCACAGGAGTACAGGCCCCTGGTTAGTTAGATCACAGGAGTACAGGCCCCTGGTTAGTTAGATCACAGGAGTACAGGCCCCTGGTTAGTTAGATCACAGTACAGGCCCCTGGTTAGTTAGATCACAGTACTGGCCCCTGGTTAGTTAGATCACAGTACAGGCCCCTGGTTAGTTAGATCACAGTACTGGCCCCTGGTTAGTTAGATCACAGTACTGGCCCCTGGTTAGTTAGATCACAGGAGTACAGGCCCCTGGTTAGTTAGATTACAGGAG